GGGGGGGGGGTCTTATCTTATCTGGAAGTATGCGTACATCTTGTACTTGCAAAAAAATTCAACTCTAAGACCCACGTTTGTCTGCAGGTAGAGTCAACAACGCGGGCCTCTTCAGTTCGACTCTGTCGTCGCGATATGACGCGCATACACCAGATTCGACGTGGGTCTGCGTGTTCTGTAAACAGGGCCCACACTCCGTTATACCCGGCGATCCGTCCAGACCGCATCCGAACTTGGCCGGACCGCATATCGCTACTGGCACGTACACGGTAGGTGTCCTTCCCGAATAATTTTTGTATGTCATGAGGTAATACGCGATAGAAAATACGATAGAAAAGATGTTCCATGAATTATTGCTATTGATGTTACCAATGCGTGCGCAACAGGTCCCGGCGGGTGTATCGGGCGACTTGTTTGGACCGTACTTGATCGGCAAGGATCGATTAGAGGACGGCAAGGAACGGTTAGAGGATGGAATTCTATCCGCCGATGAGCAAGAGATCACCAGAGAGCAGAAGAAGGGCGGTAAGAACAAGAGGAGCTTGAGGTACGCAGGTCTCGCTGACCAGTTCTCCGCCAAGATGGGCAAGAAGAAACGGAACTCCGTCGAGAGTAACACAAACGCCATGTTCACGGGCATGACCATGCTTCCCGGTGAGGAGCAACGCTGGGAAGTGTGGCTTCACGAACAGTGCGCGGTGTGGGCGGCTGGGGTTTACATGGCGGGTGAGTGTTGGAAACGTTGAGGATACGTTAACAGATACGCAAAGCGTTTAGAGATGTTTCGAAGCTGTTAAGGTCTAAGAAGCGGTAGAAAATGGCGACTAATGGCGATCAGTGACTGGCGTGGTGCAACAATTACGTTTTCTTTGCAGGTGGTAGAGTGACGGGGCTGCAGGAAGCGGTGTGGGACGCCGCCAAATCGATATGCTGTTCCTGCGGTTTGACGGGCGCGAACATCGGCTGCGTGAAGCGAGGTTGCAAGGTCGTCTCGCATTATCCGTGCGCGCTGACGAAAGGTTGGCACCTCGACACGAATCAGTACATACCTAAGTGCAACCTTCATCGAGTCACGTGAAACACCGGTGAGTCCCCGACAAGCGTTGTATAGGTTGTAATGTGGATTTAGGTCGTATTCATTATATCATGTGAGGATCCGGCTTTAATTAGAATGCACCGAATAATGGGCAATAACACAATGTAAGGGACTAAATATATAAATTCATTCATGACTGAAGAAGATAGCCTTACTAGTTAGTAAGGTATGTTCTAGTTGACAAAGCGTGGAGCAAAACATTCTCTCATCGTGTGATTGACACAATCGCTCGCGTGTGCGACAAGAATTGCGTTGTGATCGGAACGTAAGAATACCACAATTAGCAGCGAAGTAATTGATGAAACTTACAAATAAATAGGTCTAACGCGCGCGCGCGCGATGAATCGATACTCTATATTCCTCTCTGTTCTAACAGATAGAATTTAATTTTCTCATTTGGCAAACGAGTGCGGGATGTTTTGAAGTGACGCTTTGTGTATCGTTTTGATGCATAAGTGTATCCTGGAGGGTGAAAGTATAAATGTGAGAGCGATTATACTAATTTTCAGACATAGAACCAGTATGCTCGAGAAAGAAAAAAAATAAGAAAACCTTCCAATGTACAAGGTGTCTAATACGGGATCGCTATTATAAATAAAAATTGCAAAATAAATGAAATGTGCGGCACGAGCGCGAAGGTGAAGAAATAGAAATTCTTCTCAATGATTGTGAATTTAATTGATTTTCTTGGCCTGTGGCCTTGAACAGTGGCCTTTTCGACTTAATATAAAAAGAAAAGCAAGATTTTTTTAATTTTGAATCTGTAGAATAGACTGATCGCTATCGAGGAATCAATGATAATCAAAAAAGAAAAAACGAAAAAAAGAGAACAGGAAGAACAATGAGGAGGAGACAGACAGAAGAAAAAGTGTTTGCTTTTTTACTCACCTTTACGAAACTCTAAGACACTACAAACTTTCTTAACAACATCATTGTACACAGGAGCGCATACATAGGGCATATTGTAACGAACGTTATCGAACTTGAAAATTGTAAAAACGATGGTACGACAGCCGTCGAAATTGGATCTGCATAAACGCGATAAAAAAAAAAACTTAAATCAGTAAGCGGAAATTGAATATTCTTTGTCTTTTCTTTTGCATGAGACTCGAGCATAAGCATGTGTGCAGGCAAGTGTTCTCTGATAAGTGTAAAAAGTGAAAAAGAACTGTTTGTACATACAAGAAGAGAGAAATAAAAGAATTATATTATCGAGACGTGTATCGCGTAATTATGTTTCAAGAATTCATTCGACTCAGAGACATTTGTATCTTTGTTTGTATAGTCGCGAGAATGCATGTGCTTTGTGACGGAACCTGGCGTGTACCTGGCGTTGCAATTAATTTATATATGTTGTATTTGTTTTATCGTGTCGTTGTATAAATCATTGTTATAAATCATTAATTATGTGTACACGCGCGCACACACACACAGCTACACATTCAACAAACAAGCACACGCACGTACGCACGCAACACGCACACGATCGTCCACTTAAAGAATGCTCATCACTTTTTGCTATACTTTTATTGATATTTCTTTATGTAGAAGCCCTTTATGACGCCAGTGTTGATTTGTTCATGATCTTGCGTATTAACATGAACTGACGATTTCTCTAAACATGATGAAGCGGGTTGTATTTCGTTCCCGCAGAAGCCGTATTTGATTATTTATGATTTTTTTAGAGAGAGAGAGAGAGAGAGAGAGAGAGAGATATTTCTTATGCTCGCATTGGACGAGGTCGCATTGTGATTTCTTAAGCTGAGAACACTTGTAAGACTTACCCCTATGTATCTAAATGTAATATAACAAAGAACACATCTCATTGTACTCGGTGATATATGTTTTGTACGATGTACATTCGCTGTCACTATACCATCTTCGATGCGCGCGTAAAATACCAGTGACTAACACTCACATCATTTGTAATGTTTACTGTGTTGGCGGTTTTTAATTGAAATAGCTACGCAGTGTCACAGAATTTGATTTGTATATGCATATTATTATATTTCATTTTTCTTTGGTACATCAATATTGCAGTTTTCTTTGCTATAATCGTTGTCACCGTTCTCATCGTATTTTATAAGAGCGTGAGAGAGAGAGAGAGAGAGAGAGAGAGAGAGAGAGTGTGTGTGTGTGTGTGTGTGTGTGTGTGTGAGAGAGAGAGGAAGAGAGAAACATAAGTTTTTGCTATGACGAATGTGTAAGAACACTAACGATTCTCTTGTCGCTTCAGGGAGAACTAGCAAAAAAATCAGGAAAATTGTATAAAAATATTATATAGAGATATAATATGTACATACATTTATGTAGGGGATGGTATATATACGTATATAGATTATATGTGTATGTAGTATACGAATATACATATATATTAGTTATGTATATACGTATAAATATATTACACATACACACACAAGTATATATATTGAAAATAGTCGTCACATCTTCTCCCACAGCACAGAGCCCGTAAAATTAAGTATAATCATTTTTAAATAGTAACTATATAGTTTATATATATAAATATATATTTAAATGTATAAATATGTATTTATATATATTTATATATATATATATATATATATATATATATATATAGAGAGAGAGAGATCCAGATTATTGAGCGTAAAAAATTCTTTGTATATATCGTGCATAGTAACAAATGTAAAAAAATATCTCAGAAAGAATTTTATTTAGATGCATAAACTTTTTTTTGTGTTAAGAATAATAGTAATAAAAGCTCGATGAAACACACATTCAACACTTTGAAGAAGAGTAACACGAGGCCTCTTAGTTTTTATTCTTTTTTTCTTGACACGCGATTTCGACGCTCCTGGACGTTTAAAGCTGTTTGTATAAACAAAGACGACGTAGCCTCAAGAAAAGAGAAGGAAATGCCGCATAAGTGTAATTAAATGAAAACATTGAATTGTAAACGAAACGCTTATATTCTACGATTGTGTATGAAAGGGAGACAAAATTTTATCTTATAGAGAGGATAAATCTGTAATATTAATCATTACTTGTGATATAAAGAAAGAGTGAAAAGGCACACGGATGGATGAAAAAAAATTTCCAGAATGAGACAAGGTCGCAGACTTTATCGTTCATCTTCGTCACGTAAAATTCTGCGTACACAGAGCGGTCCTCATGTACAGTGCATAGAATTTTTGTAGCGAGTCGGTAAATATAACGTTGTACACACCACTTTGTAGATCCGTCTCTGCTGCGAATAGATAAATCTCTAAATAAATTGTCGCGTCGAGTGACAAAAAATTCAAGAGGGAAGGGGAGAGAGAGAGAGAAAAAGAAAGAAGGACTTCTCATAATGTACGATCTCTTTTTCTCTTTCTTCTCCATGTATATGCAGAATCGGTTCGCTTGAGTCGCTCGAGAATAGTGACCGAGAGGAAGGGAGAGAGGGAATTTTTGCGCTGTGGGGAAAAATGTTTCGCGTATTTGCCGTTTCGACTTGTATAAATGAAATATAAGCTCGGCTTGTAAATTGCACTGTTGACGGGTGAAAAGCGTGTAAGAGCGGAGGATGGGATGGCGTGTTAAGACGTGTCAAGGACGAGAATAGTCAAGCGCAGAGGACAAACCTGAATATCACAATGCCTAAGTAATTTGTATAAAAGATAAATCTGTAAAGTAAACAAAAAAAAGAAAAACACATAGAAAACCTGACCACGCGTTGTCACGATACGCGCGGATGTGAGAGGAGAGTTTAGTAGCGCAATCGTTAATAACGATTGCTTAAAGATTGGCAGTGGCAAATCGACGTATTTCTTATGTTTCGTTTTCAAAAGGCGAGAGCAAAGAGGATTAGGATTATCGCTTTATTATTTCGTATCTTTGTATGTTTTAAGACTAATTTGCTTCACGGTCTATTCGTTTCTCTCACAACTTTTCACTCCCATCTCCCCGTCTGCCCTCCCCTGCTTCCCCCGCTCTTTCCCTCCTCCACACTTCACTCTTCCCTTCGGCTTTTTGTCCTTCGTATCTTTCTCTTCTCTCAAGTCGAATAGATGTACCACTTTTTTGTGACCTGGTTTAATATTAGTGATCATTAAGAGAGATATCAGTTAAACTCTATTTAATAATTACGGAATGGTAGAGAAAATCGGCAGATTGTATTTGAAATCAATACAATAATACAATTAAGTATACATCTTTGTGTAAAATATAAATACAATAAATAATAAAACACGATATACATGTGTGTGTGCTGTGAGACATTGTAGGCGAGAGTCACTCCTGAATATATTCCCGATGACCGTTACAGTATTGTAAGACCGAACAGCAGGACCTTTTTATAGCGACGATAACTTTCGACCGATTCGCGTGTGAGCGCGCTCATAATTACGATGTAAGATTTTCACACCAGACACTCCTGAAAGAAAGAAAAGCTTGCTGACAATTACAAACTTATTTTTTGTAATTTTACAAAGGAGGAAGAAATCAACTGCCGCGTGAACTTTCTGATTCTGATTAAGATCTGATTTGTAATAATCTCACCGTTGTATTAGACTTTACCGTAATCTGTTAACACACAATGATCTATTTATTTTAATAATATAAATATAGATGGAAATTTTAAACAGCTGTTGAGTTTTATTTACAAATAAGACTTTGGGACTCTAAAGATTGACGCCGCGCTCAAGACTCGAACCATTTTTTTACCGACTCAATTTTGGCTACGAGTTTCATAATCGACTCCGTCAGGTGGCGGTAGGTGGGCCCGTTAGTCAGGGAAATAACGGATCTTACAATAACAAAGGGTTCCTCAGACCCGATAGTTCTTAACCAATGACGCGTAAAGTTAGTTTCAAAGTCTTCACTACGAGGCGCCACTTTCTTCAACGACGATTCGAGATCGGAAATACGACTCGACAGTAAGTCAAGCGGACCTTTGTTTTCAAATAGCACGAGGCCAACTCGGCCGGGTTGTTTACTTTCACAAGTAAGATTCCACGCCACATCGGAGGATGTCTTTATTCTCGCAGTACGTCTCAACGGTAATTAAAGATATCTTTTATTTTCAAGCGTCACGACGGAGGATTGAATGGACGAGGAATGGACTGCTCCCAATTACTACTGCTAAACGAACATCCGTTCTCGAGCCGATGTTGCGAATCGCAACATCAGAAAGATGAAGAATCGAGTTCCCGTCGAGACGTGCCTGGAAACAAAGTGTGCATTTAAGGCTGCCTCTCGATATCGTTATCGTCTCTACGAGCTCCGCCGGCGAGTAGTAACGAGCAGCGGCGCGTGGTGGCGCGGCCGTCGCGCCGCGGCGGCTCCGACTGTCGCGCCCCCCCTTCCCCTTCCGCGCGCGCGCGTGTCGCTAGCGCTCCTCAGTACGCAGCGAAACGTCACGCGAGGCGGTTGTGACGTCGCTTGTGCCGTCCGTTAGCGCGCGAGTCAGCTCCGAGCACGCGATTACTATGATCGCGCACGAGGCCTCGTGATACATCTCTCACTCTCTCATACTGCACCGTCGCACCGGGGAAATTATGTCGACGCGAAATGAGTGATCCGACGACGCTACTGGTGCTGCAGTTCCTCGCCGCGTTCCTCGCCTGTCTCGCGGATTACAGCCGGGCACAGGATGAAGAAACGCTAGGTAAGCAGAAAACATATACGGAGCCTGCTCCGCTGCGTTTTGACACTTGCCGTGACGTGTGTGCGTGCAGTGGGTTGCAAAACATTTGCTCAAACACCGCGAAGTTAGAAGAACTCTGACCGAAATTCTGACTCAAACTTCAGAGTTATTATCGACCGACTTTTACATAATAATAATGTTATTGATAATTAATTAGGAATAATAAATAATAATAATGATAATAACAACAATCAATAATAACGATAATTAATAATGTAATTATTAGGCAAGTCCATCGCGTTAATAATGGCTCTCAAATTGTGACACAGTCTGCTGAGTTTCCAACTTCATGACGCCGTTTTGCAATCCACTGTACGCACGTGGGATGTCCGCTCGCACGATCGAACGAATGAGCGGACAGAACTCTTGCTGTTTGTGTATTTTCGCGGGGAGACGAACCGCGCGACGAAATGTCGCATGGCGGTTTTGTCGCGCGTCCTCCTATTGCGCGCCATTATTTGCGCCAGCGATTCAGCCGACTGATGATACTTGTTGTTTGACGTGCGAAGCGCGCGACGGCACGTCACCTCGTTTTGGAAACGTTGTGCTGAGTGTGTGAAAAAGAAGGAAAATATTGTCGACCCTCAATCACGATTGCGCGATCGTTCACTCGGTTGTTTCATTTTCGAGCGAGGTATCTCGGGCACAGTTAGTTCATTTGACGTCAGCGCCGTCGGAAATTACGTGTTCTCTACGGCTGCACTTTTCGAAGTACTTTGCGAACTTTTCTTCTCTTTTCCATCAAGCGCCAAGTGCAGGGAACAGTCGACGGTCTGAGTGCAGCGATACTTTTCCGAGTGATGTGATTTATAACGCATTCCATATACGAGGGGAGAACATATTTTCCGAGAATTATGGAGAAACAAATTCTCCCCCGTTGAATACGGTACGTGTTACGAAACTCATCGAGAAAAAGCGTCGCAATATTCAAGATCACTATATTTAGGGCCACTTTGACCAAACTGCGTAGTTGAGTAACTAACCGTATTAGTAATCTTGTTTAAAGCATTCACACTTTCGGTATGCACAAGCTGCGAAATTTTTGGATTAGGCAAAAATATTACGCTGATAGCTTGAGATTTTATATTAAACATTTTTTTCGTTTTCGTCGTATATACTTCTATTTATTTTCACACGTATCTTCTCTGCGTAAAAGTAGAGAATTGTGATTCTATACAAGAAATACAACGTAAACTTTGTAAAAAAAATGTAAGTTTTTAGCACCAGCATCCCCTTAATATGATAGAAAATTTGGTTACACTGAGGGAAAAATTATCTTAAAATCAACAAATATTTCTTTGATTTATGCCATTAACATATTTACTTAAGTATATTTTTACTTAAGTATAAATTCTCTTTTTTTAAATTAAATGTTGTTTATCTGATTTAAGTAAACAATTTTACATTTGGTTTAAATAAAGAGAATTTAGACTTGAATATGTTAATGGGGACCCATCAAAGAAATATTTGTTGATTTTAAGGTAATTTTTCCCTCAGTATAAGGTGTATTTTTGTGCTTAACTGTAGCGTGGCTAACCCACATTCATAACTGCTCACTTTCCATTTATTCTCCAACAGCAACTTCAGTTGGAATCCTGCGAAATTAGTAAAACAGTTAGTTTAACTATAGCTTAGTGAAAACGATCCTTAAGCTGGTGGCACATGGAAAAACTTAAGCAGTAAGACGTAAGCAGTAAGCGCGAATTAGCCAATCACAGTCGTTGATTCTTGGACCGTAAGAAGAATCAATACCTGTGATTGGTCAATTTGCTTACTGCTTAAGTTTTTCTGTGTGTTACGGCCCTTAGCTGCTCGTATTTAAGTGCGAATGGTGCAACTCGGTGCAGCTCCGAAGAGCAGATCCATCGATACCGCGATCGACTTCCGTGATATCGATCCGCTGTCGATCGGCGCGCCATCGATTCGCGGCGACTGTCGATCTCGCGTTCGAAGTCGCCATTGTGCTCGCGTGTTTAACGGCTCGCCTAAATTAAGAGACCGTGCGCGTCCGTAATTACTAATAACCGTCCCGGTGTATCCTCTCGCTCGACGTCCTCGAGTAACGTTGCTTCGTTATGCGCGCGCGGCAAGAGTCGCGCAATCATCCCCGGTTCAGCAGTTCCGTCCTGCGTTTCACGTGACCTCTCGAATTGGAACTGCCTCACGCTCGCGTTTCACACGAGCGCGTTGCACAATAATCGCGGGAGACGTCCGCCGATGTGCCGAGCAGAACACGGCGGATGTTTCTTCTCTCCCGCTGCCCCGCGAGATGAGGAATGTCTCCGATTCCGGAGCACTTGAGGTTAGAGTGAGGTAAGCAGAATTTAATTCGTGGCACTACCCGTCGTCCTTATGGCTCTCCTTGTAATTCGGCGGACGAAGCGTCGTGTATTATTCAGTCGCCGTATTATTTACTGCGGTCTCTACCTTTGTGGAAGACGACGGTGGCACTCGGCGCGTGACGCCGCGTCCCTTTTCTCGAAGAAGCGCGTTGACCATCGGCGGTCAGCACCAACCGTCTCGACTACCGCTAATTGTTGCATAAAGCATTTTCTCTCTTTCTCTCTCTCTCTTTATCTATCTCTCGCGAGTTCGCAGGTGCATCGCACCAGAAATCCTCTCCCGGTGTTCGCTTCGCTCGACGACGACGACTACGCTGAGTACATGACGCTGAAAAGTGATTACGTCGTCGTCTTTCAGAGCTACCTCGGGACACGACAGCGCGCGAACTAATCCCGTGAGGTGCTATCTCGCCGTCTACAACTGTAATCTTTCGCCTCGCTAAATGCGCCAATTTCTCTCGGCCATCGCGCGATCCGTCCGGGACAGTAATTTCCTACGGATATGAATCCTCAGTTCTCGAAAAATGGCGACCACGTAAATCCTTATTCTGTGTGGACTCTCTCTTATCAATGAAGTACAGTTGAGAGTGAGAGTCTTAATCTCTTGAATGAAAGTTGTTGTCTGAGTCGGTTGAAAATGTGAGATAATCAGATATGAATTTAGAGTTAGGTTTGAACTTTCTACTTTTGAATCTTCCGTAATGTATGTGAGATTATATTCACAATCGCAATTCAGCTGAAAGATTCACATTTAATTTTCAACTCAAATCTGAGTCAAGTTTTAAGTAACGACTATTAATACAGCAAGTTTACGTTTTGAGCAGAAAAACGAAAAACAGTAAAGAAAGAAAACAAACTGGCAGATTTCAGACTGGAGAAAACCGACTCAAGGCGGTAAAATCCGATTCGGCCGCCTTGATGTAACGGATATTTGCGCGAATCGTCGGATCTGATAATCCAAGCTGCGTGCAATGTCGGTCTGAGCTGGTCAGGGCCGCGATCACGGCGCGTTGTTCTAGAAGTTCGCGTCGGCTCGTATCCGCGAGAGACGCGACGCGAAAACAGTTCTCGTCCTTTCACTTCATCACAAACAAGACGGACACATCGACCTAATCGCGCTCGATAGCACACACCGCACCGACGGTGTGTGACGTAAGTGAGTAGAAAAGCGAACTCGATCTCTCCACCTTCTTCTCCTCGCCCTCACCTTCGCCCTCGCATAGCACGCACTTGATTCCGATATGGAACAGTTATTACTCGAAGCTTGTCCTGCGTGAGATACTCGGGAATTTAGGTCCGTATTAAAGGAATACTGAAGCTGAAAACTTTACCGACAGAACACTGACATTTTTCTGTAAAATTTACGTCGTATTACACTGAGAAAAAAATTTACTAAATTAAAAAAAACGTTTGTTTAGCTAGTACTGTGAAGATATTTGTTTAAATCAAATAATTATTTTCTAAAATTAAATAAAGAAGTTTTAAATATAAATTTGTTTCTTTAATTTTAGAAAATAATTACTTAATTTAAACAAATATCTTCACAGTACTATCCAAACAAACGTTTTTTGAAATTTAGTACATTTTTTCTCTGTGTACACAGAATTACAAATTACATTTCGTTATACAGAATTACAAATGCTTTTACGCAATGAAAGTACGTGCAAAAATAAGTAGGAGCATTGCTCATGTAACAATTAAATTTTTAAAATCTCAAGCTGTTAGTTAGCGTAATATTTGCCTAATTGAAAAGTTCCGCAGCTTGTACATACCGAAAATGTGGATGCTCCAAATAGAAAAATTTTAAAGAACTTGCTCCACTTTCGCATCTAACTGATAGCTTGAGATTTTACATTACAAATTTTTTATTTGTTTTCGTCATATATGGAGCAATACTCCTATTTATTTTTGCACATACTTTTATTGCGTAAAAGCATTTGTAATTCTGCCTAACCAACGACGTAAACTTTGCAGAAAAATGTCAGTGTTCTGTCGGTAGTGTTTTCAGCTTCAGTATCCCCTTAATAGTTGTTACTTGAAACTTGCTCCAGGTAAGACACTCAGATTTTAATTTAGAGTTAGATTTGAGTTTCTCAGCTGAATCTCGATTGCAAATCTAATGTCACATTATATAATTTAAATAAGAAATCTTCATCTAACTCTAAACTTAGATTTGGATGTTTCATGTAGGACAAAGTTTTAAGTAACGACCATTAAGAGCTTAACGAGCTTAAACTCGATTTAACGAGCTTAAAAGTTAGATTTGAATTGTTTATTTGAATCTTCCATGTAACATATGCGAAATTATATTTGCAATCGCGATTCAGCTGAAAGATTCACATCTCTAATTCTCTACGTTCAAATCTGAGTATCTCACCTGAGGCGAGTTTCAAGTAACGACTATGCACTCGGTGGCGTATTCACCTTGTTACGACGTCGATCGGTGGCATTCCGTTGCGCGGTGGGATTATGTCGTTAACTTGCGCCGCGTTAAAGCTGGTTCTCACTATCTGCTTAGACAACCGCAGACAATTAGGCCGGGAGCAGAACATAGAAAAACTGAAGCAGCAAGAAAATTGATTGATCACAGTCGACGGTTCTTTTTATCGTCGAAGAATA